GTTTCTTTATCATTGTACTGTTACTCAATCTATTGAGGGGGTGTTTAGTTTTCATACTAGTATTATTCCATATGTAATAATGTCCCTTTTACCGGGGGCGCTGCATCTTTAATAGATGCAGGTGATTCCACAGCGGGCGGCATTGAGCAGTGATAAAAGTACATGCTCTCCTCAATTGACTTGCTGAGCCCCACTACATTTTGGGGTCCTGTATCTTTTGTCCTTTGTACATAGAATTTTGAGGTATAGTCGAGGCCTTGTCGCCGGCACTGTTATAACACTCTTTGGTTTCTGTTAGAGGCTTTGTAGACATTGTGTGGGTTGTATATTGGTGTTGGGAAAGTCAAACTAAAAATGTTGTATTTGTATCACATGTTCCACTTCAAACTATGAATATGTAATGTATTTTGAGACTTATAAATGGAGTAACCAATGGTAATGAAATGGTGTTGTTCACGTGACCTTGTTATTGCCTAATTAATGAATTGTATCTTCTCTTTATTCTTGGGTGAGTCAGGTAGATGACAATGTGAATTCTTGCTCGACCGGGGTATCTCAGTGGAGCACCGGTCGCGCTCCCTGAGGTCGGGGCGTGACAAGCTTGGTATCAGAGCCTAAGGTTTTAAAGTGTCCTAAGATGTCTCAGAATCGTGTCTAGTAGAGTCCTTCTTATCGATGTGTTGTCGACCACATCTATAATTAGGAGGCTACTTGGGTATTTAAGAATAATACTCATCTTTTAAGTTCTAGATCGTGCGACAAAGCTAATTATAAGACTATTCCTCCTTTAACTCTTGTATTGCTCTGATTTTCAGTACATGGAACCTAGGAAGAAGGAAAGAACTAGCCAAAGAGCCAATGCCACCCCAGGAGTGGTAGTCGATTTTGTACCTAATGATGCGGGTGAGAACCTGAGGGGTGAGGATATTCGCCCAGCTACTACACTGCCTGATTCTACTACTCCTACTCAGACTGCACCAATCCCTACTCCTACCGAGGGTACAGCTATTTCACCTCCGGTCCCGGTGTTTCTGATGGGGACCTTAGGGGAGCCATACAAATGTTGGCTCATATAGTGGCTTCACAGGCCCAATGATCGAATGTTGCACCCGCTTCTTCCATCCAGCAAGGGGATTCTACTAGTTCCAGGGTGAATAGGTTTCTTCAGTAGGATCCTCCAGTGTTCACGGGTACTAATACCGAGGAGGACCCCCAGGACTTTATTGATGAGATGCACAAGACTCTCCGAGTCATGCGTTCTACTGAGACGAAGGCGACAGAGTTGGCCTCCTAACGCCTGAAAGAGGTGGAATATTCTTGGTTCGAGGTGTGGGAGAAGTCCGGTGAGGAGGGGACCCCTTCGACAAGGTGGAGTGAGTTTGCCAACACCTTTTTCGACCATTTCTTGCATGCAGATACTAAGGAAGCCCATGCCGCCGAGTTTGAGAGTCTGAAACAAGGTAGCATGAGTGTGTGGGAGTATTATATGAGGTTCGTACGCCTGTCCAAGTGTGCCATCTACATGTTGTACACTATGGAGGCTAGAGTGCGCCGGTTTGTGTAGGGCCTTAGTCCCTTGGTTATTAATGAAGCCTCTACAGTTGCCTTGAATTATGATATGAACTATGGTAAGATAGTGGCATTTTCTCTAGCCACAGAGACCTACAAACTGAAGAATAGAATAGAGTGAGATGGTAGCAACAAGGCTTGGTCAGCGGGCAACTTTATTGGTACTTTTGGTGTTGGTGGTGGCAGGTTAGCATTTAGGGGAGGGTCGTTAGGTGCATCCTAGTTCTTTGCTCAGTCTTCAGTCAGTGCATAGCTATCAGGGCCAAGTCAGCAGCAGTGAAGCCGTTTCAGGCCTAGTCAGGGCAATAAGGGATCCTACCAGCAGGGTCGGACTGGAGGGAGTTTCTAGCAGCAGTAGAGGCCCCCATGCCCTAGGTGTTGGAAAAAGCACTTTGGGGATTGCTTTATGGATCAGACCATATGCTACGGGTGTTGTATGAGTGGTCACATTCAGAGGGATTGCCGTTCGTCCCACCAGAGAATGGGCAGGGGTGCATCACAGCCAGCCAGTTCTGTAGCTACTACATCCACAGCACCTCCTCCAGTTCAAGGCACTCCAGCAGCCGCAGGGCGTGGTGCAGCTAGGAGTAGAGCATAGAGTTCGGGAGGAACGAACTATTTCTATTCTATGAGGGGTCGCTAGAGTTCAGAGGCTTCTCGAGATGTTGTCAAAGGTATATTGGCTGTCCAATCTCATGATGTATATGCTCTTATTGATCCCGGTTCCACCTTGTCATATGTCACTCCCAATGTTGCTATGGATATTGGGATAGAACCGGAATAGCTTCAAGAGTCATTCTCTATATCTACTCCGGTTGGTGAGTCTATTATGGCCGTGTGGGTTTATAGGGATTGTGTTATTACGGTGCGTGGCCGGGACACCATGGCCATTCTCATTGTGTTGGGGATGGTTGATGTTGATGTAATAATAGGGATGGACTGGCTTTATTCATGTTTTGCCAAGCCTAATTGCTGAACCAGAATCGTTAGGTTTGAATTTCCAATTGAGCCAGTTGTTGAATGGAAGGGGGATGATATGGTGCCGAAGGGTAGGTTTATTTCTTACCTTAAGGCCACGAAGATGATCAACAAGGGGTGTATTTACCATTTGGTCCGGGTTACAGATACCGATGTTGAGGTACCTACATTTGAGTCTGTGCCTGTTGTGAAGGAATTCCCGAAGGTCTTTCCAGATGAGCTCCCTGGGATCCCACCACTACAAAGGAGATTGATTTTGTGATTGATATGATGCCAGGCACGCAGCCTATATTTATTCTACCCTACAGAATGTCACTGGCAGAATTGAAGGAACTAAAGGAACAATTGAAGAACTTGCTCGAGAAGGGTTTCATCCGGCCAAGTGTGTCGCCTTGGGATGCACCGGTTCTCTTTATAAGGAAGAAAGATGGGTCAGTGAGAATGTTTATTCACTATCAGCATCTCAACAAGGTCACGATGAAGAATAAGTACCCACTGCCAAGGATAGATGACTTGTTTGATCAATTGCAGGGTGCTAAGTATTTCCCCAAAATCGATTGAGATCCGGGTATCACCAATTGAAGATCATGGAGCAGGATATTCCGAAAAACAATTTTCAGAACCCTGTATGGGCACTTTGAGTTTCTGGTAATGTCTTTTGGGGTAACAAATGCCCCGGCAGCTTTCATGGATCTTATGAACCGAGTTTTCAAGTCGTTCCTTGACTCTTTTGTGATAGTGTTCATTGATGATATTATGGTATATTCACGAAGTCGAGAGGACTATACCGATCATCTCAGGGAAGTTCTGCAAACTCTATATTAGCACCAGTTGTATGCGAAGTTTTTGAAATGTGAATTTTGGCTTCAATCTGTCAAATTCTTGGGTCATGTTGTCTCTAGAGAAAGAATTAATGTTGATCCTTAGAAGATTGTAGCGGTGAAGAATTGGCCTAGACCTACAACCCCAACAGAGATACGTAGTTTCTTGGGCTTAGCTGGATATTACAGGAAATTTGTGGAGAGGTTCTCTACCTTTGCCTCTCATTTGGCTAAATTGACGAAAAAGGAGATTATGTTTCAATGGTCAGATGTTTGTGAAAGGAGTTTCCAAGAGTTGAAATCAAGATTGACTACGATACCAGTGTTGACCCTACCAGAGGGTACAAATGGGTTTGTGGTATATTGTGATGCTTCAAGGATCAGACTGGGGTGTTTATTAATGCAACATGGCAAGGTGATCGCTTATGCTTCTAGGCAACTCAAGAATCATGAGAAGAACTATCCAACACATGTCTTAGAGCTCGCGACGGTGGTTTTTGCATTGAAGAGTTGGAGTCATTATTTGTATGGGATCCATGTGGATATATTCACGGACCGTAAGATCCTTCAATATATTTTCAAGCAGACGGAATTGAATTTGAGGCAGAGAAGATGGCTTGAGTTACTCAAAGATTACAACATCGATATCCTATATCATCCGAGGAAGGCTAATGTTGTGGAAGATGCTCTTAGCCGGAAGTCTATGGGCAGTTTTGCTCACTTTGAGGCATATCAAAGGCCGTTGGCCAAGGAGGTTCATCGGTTGGCTAGTTTGGGAGTTTGTCGCGTGGACTCTAGCGAATAAGGGGTGATTTTTCAAAATAGGGCGGAATCGTCGCTGGTTGTGGAAGTCAAGCAGAAGCAGTACGACAATCTGTTGTTGGTACAGTTGAAGGAGGGGATTCATAAACATAAGACTATGGTTTTTTCTCTTGGCATGGATGATGGTACACTAAGGTACCAAGGGCGGCTATGTGTTCCAAATGTAGACGGTCTCCCGGAAAGAATCATGATTGAGGCTCACAATTCCAGGTATTCCGTGCACCCAGGCTCTACCAAGAAGTACCACGATCTTAAGGGATTATACTGGTGGAATGATATGAAGATTTGGCAAGATGTCCCAATTTTCAACAAGTAAAGGCCGAACACCAAAGGACCGGTGGGTACGTACAGAACATAGAAAATCCAATGTAGAAATGGGAGATGATCAATATGGACTTTGTGGTAAGACTACCTCGCACTCCGTGCAAGTTCGACTCAATTTGGGTGATTGTGTATCGACTCACAAAATCAGCACACTTCTTACCTGTTAAGGCTACCAATACAGCGGAACACTATGCTCAGTTGTATATTAAGGAAATAGTCAGGTTGCAGGGCACTCCAGTTTCTATTATCTCAGATCGAGGGGCACAATGCATAGCTAATTTTTGGAAGATATTTCAGCAAGGTTTGGGTACTCAGGTGAATCTTAGTACAACCTTTCACCCGCAGACTGACGGGCAGGCAGAGCGGACTATTTAGGCCCTTGAGGATATGTTGCGCGCTTGTGTTCTTAACTTCAAGGGTAGATGGGATGATTAGTTGCCACTCATTGAATTTGCCTAGAACAACAATTATCATGCTAGTATTCAGATGGCACCGTTCGAGGCTTTATATGGCAAGAGAAGCCGATCTCCCATTGGATTGTTCGATATTGGGGAAGTAGAGTTGATAGGAACAGGCCTCGTGCATCAGGCTATGGAGAAGGTTATGATCATTAAGAAGCGGTTAAAAATAGCCCAGAGTCATCAGAAGTCTTATTCGGATGTTCGTCGTGGGGATTTGGAGTTGAAAGAAAATGATTGGGTGTTCTTGAAGGTTTCTCCCATGAAGGGTATAATGTGGTTTGGTAAGAAAGGAAAATTGAGTTCGAGATATGTCGAACCGTACAGAATCATTCAGAGGATTGGTCAGGTCGCTTACAAGTTTGAACTACCTCTAGAGTTGTCTTTAGTGCAACCGGTGTTTCATGTATCCATGTTGAAGAAGGTGGTTGGAGATCTGTCACTCATTGTTCTGGCTGAGAGTATTGAGGTTAATGAGGAATTGATTATGAAGAAATTCCAGTGCCATTCTTGATAGGCAAGTTTGAAAGTTGAGAAATAAAGAGTTTGCCTCAATGAAAGTGCTATGGCGAAACCAACAGATTGAAGAGGCCACCTAGGAGGCTGAGGAAGAAATGAAGAAGAAGTACCCTTATTTGTTTGAATAGCTATGAAATTGTTTCTATGAAGTTTTTCCATATGAATTATTATTATGTATCACTTGTACAGTTTATGCTAAGGGTGTTCCTTTCTGGTAATATATTTTCTCTGAGGTCACGGTTGGTATTAATTTTATGTTATGTTGCATCGTTGGATTATGTATATGTTGTTAGGATTGATTCTGGGATTCTCTGACTGGTGGATAGGCCCAGTTACAGGGGAAACTCTACCGAAATCTTTTGAAATTTAGGGAGTTAGTCCAAAATTTGGAACTGTTGGTGTGTGAAATAGCAGCTAAGTGGCATTGGTTTCAAATGGTGGATTTTGACCCTCATTTGAGGACGAATGATCTTAAGTGGGGGAGGATGTAGGGCCCCATGAAATTTCACCTAGAACCCGAGGTTTCGTGATGCCAAGGTGGACTTATGTGTTGATTATTGTCCGCGGTGCATACTTTTTGGGTTGAACAGTGCGTTAGGGAGTTTCTGTTGTCCACTATGCGACCGTAGAATCACTATGCGGACCACAGATCGGCTGCAGAGTGCGACAGAAAATGGCCAATTTTGGAGGGTCGTTTTGCGGTCTAATATGTGATCGCATAATGCTTTCACGGGTACCACAATCCATCGCAGATTCAGCATGAATATGCGATCACATAATGCGACCGCATACCTGCCGCAGACCTGATCCGAACAACCCAGTTCTTGACATCACTTCTATGGCCCATTTTGCAGACCGCATATCCATTCTGCGGTCCACTCTGCGACCATATAGCTGTGTTCGGAGGGTCCATTTTCTGGTTTTTATAACCCGACCCTATTTCGATAAATGGACATTAAGGGCTATTAGTAAAATAAAAATCTGATATTTTGAGAGTGAGGAAGTTCTCTAGAGTGAGTGGGGCTCCTAAACTAATTGTTCATCAATTCTTGCTCAAGGCTTGGAGAATTACAAGGAAAACTCACTAGGTCTTCATCCTAGAGGTAAGATTCTACTCCTTAGCCCTCAATTTCGGGATTTAACCGAAAATAGGTAATGAGAAAAGCAATTCTTGGGTGTGGGAGTTGGTCATTATGCATGCATGTACTATCAGGGTCTGTGGGAAGATTGTTGAGCTCAATTGGGTAGACTTTGGGTAGTAGGATGAAGGAATCCACCATATGAGGACCTTGAAATCATAATGTCCACCTAGTGTTTGATAAAATTTTCAAATGAGCTGGAACCATGAACCCCTTCCTACTTTGTGTTCAATTTTGTTATATTTCCAAATAGATCGAAGTGGCTAAGATTTCTAAATCATTGTACTAATTTAAGGAAGCTCAAGGCGTGGTATGTTGGCTAAACTTCTCTCTTAGAATTGAATCCCATGATGTTTTTGTAAGCCCCGAGTTGATCATTATAAATTTGACTATTTTGAATACTTTTATCTTATTATGTTATCCTTCGGAAATGTGATATAAGTATGGTTTGTGTGTTAACATGCTACGACCTCAAGACTTGATTCTAATGAAAGCTATCATGTCGAATTGTGTAAGAAATCTCATTATGCCTAAGACCCTTATTTGCTCACACGTGCACTTACAGTCTTGATTAGAAACGCTTTGTTTTTAATAATCCTTGATGGTGTTTGAAGGCAGAAGAAGTGAGCATGAGATATGAAACACGGCCAACGTGCCGAGAATTATATTAAAATAGAGGCCACTAGTGCCAATGAAACGAAGAGAAGTGGAAAAGACATTGAAATGAGCTGTAAATTCTTTAAATAATAAATGCCTTGGGAGTATCGTTTAGTCACCGAGGAAGGGTAGGTTGAAATGACCTAACCCCGAAATTACACGTGCCTGTGTATGAGTGAGTGAGGGGTAAAATACCCGTGTGAGGTAGTGAGGGTTTTCCCCAAATATAGGATGAGATTGATGTATTGAGATAATTCCCCTTAAATGGGATGAGATGATTGCTAGCGGAATGTGAGGTGATGTCGACCCACATGGCATTGTGGTGAGACAGCTTAGTCGATCGGGCTAAGATCGGACGTCATGCCGCACACATGGAGGTAATGTGAGTGCTCGGGGTGAGACGACTTAGCCTATCGGGCTGATATTGGAATCCGTGGTAAAAGCACGGTGGTGTATCGGTACTAACGATCTCCCAATTAAAAAATATTGAAACTTTTTTGAAATTCATTCTTTCTCCTAACTTGGTACTTTAATATTGACGAGGCCCTCATTGATTTCGTGCTTCTTTATCATTGTACTGTTACTCATTCTATTGAGGGGATGTTTAGTTGTCGGGGGCGCTGCATCTTTAATAGATGCAGGTGGTTCCAAAACAGGCGGCATTGAGCAGTGATAGCAGTACACCCTCTCCTCAACTGACTTGGTGAGCCCCACTTCATTTTGGGGTCCTGTATCTTTTGTCCTTTGTACATAGCATTTTGAAGTATAGTCGGGGCCTTGTCGCCGGCACTGTCATAACACTCTTTGGTTTCTGTCAGAGGCTCCGTAGACATGGTGTGGGTTGTATATTGGTTTTGGGAAAGTCAAACTAAAAATGTTGTATTTGTATCATATGTTTCAATTCAAACTATGAATGTGTAATGTATTTTGAGACTTGTAAATGGAGTAACCAATGGTAATGAAATGGTGTTGTTCGCATGAACTTCTTATTGCCTAGTTAATGAAATGTATAGTCTCTTTATTCTTGGGTGAGTCGAGTAGACGACATTGTGCAGGCTTGCTCGACCGGGGTACCTCGGTTGTGTGTAGGTCGCGCTCCCCGAGGTCGGGGCATGACAAATAGTACTGCCTCAAATTATGGCACATCTTCACGGTCCTCGGATGAATGGAATACCGCAAACTATGGGCCTCCTAAAGAATCAACTCTCACAACCATCCACATTAGGCACACAATTCCTGCCTGAAGACTCAATACCCCAACATCTCCAGAAGTCACCTCCATAAAAACACTGTGCTGCACCATTTTAATTAGGACAAGAAAGTAGGGAACATAATACAGTGCTCAAACATGCAAACATGGATGACTGTGATACAACTGTAAGGCACCGTAAAAAGTTTTATCCTAAAAACCCGGATTTCGCGATGCCAAAGTAGGTGTAGAGGTTATAACAGTAGAGGTTATGGCGAAACCAATAGATTGAAGAGGCCACGTGGGAGGCCGAGGAAGAAATGAAGAAGAAGTATCCTTACTTGTTTGAATAGAGGTGTAATTTATTCTTTTGATGAACTTGTCGCCTATAAATTTTGTATCACTCGTTCAGTTAATGCAAAGGTGTTCCCTTTTATTATATGTTGTTTACATGAGGCCACGGTTAGTGTTATTATGATTTATGTTACATTGTTGGATTCTGTACATGTTTGTAAGATGTGTTTCTCGAGCTCTCTAACAGGTGGATAGGCCTAGTTACAAAGGAAATTCTAGCGAAAAGTTTTGGAAATTTAGGGAGTTATTTAATTTTGGGTTGTTGGTGTATGGCGTGAAAACTGAGTTGCATAAGATGCTAATAGCAGACCCTGATCCTCATTCGAGGACGAATGATATTAAAGTGGGGGAGAATGTAAGGCCCCGTAAATATTTCTTTCCTAAAAACTCGGATTCCGTGATGCCAAAGTAGGCGTAGAGGTTATAATAGTAGGGGTTAATGAGAACCAAACATTTTGAAGAGGCCACGTGGGAGGCCGAGGAAGAAATGAAGAAGAAGTATACTTACTTGTTTGAATAGCGGTGTAATTCATCCTTTTTATGAGCTTGTCACATATGAACTTTGTATCACTTGTTCAGTTAATGTAAAGGTGTTCCCTTTGTTTATATGTTGTTTACACGAGGCCAAGGTTGGTATTGTTATGAGTTATGTTACATCGTTGGATTCTGTACATGTTTGTAAGATGTGTTTCTTGGGCTCTCTGACAGGTGGATAGGCCTAGTTACAAAGGAAACTCTAGCGAAATGTTTGGAAATTTAGGGAGTTAGTTAATTTGGGGTTGCTGGTGTAGGGTATGAAAACTGAGTTGCATAAGGTGCTAATAGTAGACCCTGATCCTCATTCGAGGATGAATGATCTTAAGTGGGGGAGGACGTAAGGCCCCGTAAAAATTATTCTCCTAAAAACCCGGATTCCGTGATGCCAAAGTAGGCGTAGAGGTTATAATTGTAGAAGTTATGGCAAATCCAAGGGGTTGAAGAGGCCACGTGGGAGGCCGAGGAAGAAATGAAGAAGAAGTATCCTTACTTGTTTGAATAGCGGTGCAATTCATCCTTTTTATGGACTTGTCGCCTATGAATTTTGTATCACTTGTTGAGTTAATGTAAAAGTGTTCCCTTTGATTATATATTGTTTACATGAGGTCAAGGTTGCTGTTGTTATGTGTTATGTTACATCGTTGGATTCTGTACATGATTTTTAGATTTGTTTCTGGGCTCTCTGACAGGTGGATAGGTCTAGTTCCAAAGGAAACTCTAGCAAAGTTTTTGGAAATTTAGGGAGTTAGTTAATTTGGGGTTGCTGGTGAAGGGTATGAAAACTGAGTGACATAAGGTGCTAATAGTAGATCATGATCCTCATTAGTGGACGAATGATCTTAAGTGGGGAAAGATGTAAGGCCTCGTTAATTTTATTTTCCTAAGAACCTGGATTCCGTCATGCCAAAGTAAGCGTAGAGGTTATAATAGTCGAAGTTATGGCGAAACCAACGGGTTGAAGAGGCCACGCGGGAGGTTTAGGAAGAAATTAAGAAGAAGTATCCTTACTTTTTTGAATAGCGGTGTAATTCATCCTTTTTATGAACTTGTCGCCTATGAATTTTGTATCACTTG